CAAATCCTACTCTTGTGACCTATGCTGATCATTCCAAGCTCTCTGCCATGATGGTCGCTGTTGCAGAAAAGGGCTCTGGGGAGGTAACAGGGACTATCACAGGTCAGAAGCGGCGTGCAGAACAGGACTCGACCACAGTAGCTGCCTTTGCTAGCTCTTTGGCCTCTGGTCTGGCTTCTTCAGCATCAGAAACAGCCAAGGAGCCAACCAAGAAATCAAGGAAACATGCTGCCTCAGATGTTGACCTGGAGATAGAAAGCCTTCTGAACCAACAGTCTACTAAAGAACAACAGAGCAAGAAGGTAGGGGCAGATGGAAATGTTTTCATACATATACTTGGGATTATAACTTTGGTTGAGAGGAATTTACCCCTGGCACAAGGAGCAATTCTTAGAATTGAAGGTTTAGAACAGTGGTTCTCAACAGGGGATGATTTTGCCTTCCTCCCTCCTTACAGAGGACATTTGGCAATGTCTGGAGACATTTTTGGTTGTCTCAATACAGGGGAGTGCTACAGGCATCTAGTGGGTTGAGGCAAGGGATACTGCTAAACATCCTACAGTCATAGTAGGACAACCCCCATACAACAAAGAATTATCCAGCCCTAAATGCTAATAATGTCAATGTTAGAAATTCGGATTTAGAGAATCTTTGTTATTGGATCTGTTTGGAAGAATCATAAGATCAAGGTCAGGGGAATCCAGTTCTGGCTGGGTAGCTCAGTTGGTTAGAGCAGTGTCCTAATACACCAAGGTTGTGGGTTCAGGGCACATACAAGAACTTTGTTTATATCAATTAGCCTATGGTAAAATTAGTTATACATTTTTTCACTTAAAGTTACAAAACCTATCAACAATGTTGAAGACTTTACTGTATAGTGGTTCTTGGTATAAGTAATGGAACCACATGAGTTCTCTCCATTTGCTACTTCTAGGTGTGTGAATTTGACAAGTTAAATTGACAGTAGAGTTCATTGTGCCTTGGTTCAGTACCTAACGTAAGTGGTTTTGGTGGGCATTACAGGTATTATCAAGTAGAATTTACACAGGTGGTTTAAGACTAATTTTACCTACAAACCCTGTTAAGTCCAAAGCTTCTTCTGTCATAGGTCAGTCAGGAGATTCTAGAGCTATTAAATACTACAACAGCCAAGGAACAATCCATTGTCGAAAAGTTTCGGTCACGAGGTCGGGCCCAAGTGCAAGAGTTCTGTGACTATGGAACCAAGGAGGAGTGTATGAAAGCCAGTGATGCTGATCGGCCCTGTCGCAAGCTGCACTTCAGGTCTCTTGAGAGGGAGAGAGGTGGGATGGGTCTCCTAGAAATAGTCATTCCTTTTCAGCACGTTGCTTCCAATCATTGGGATTATGTATTTAATCCTGTTATTAAATGGTTTTCCTATGTCCTGGCCAGCATGGCTCAGCAGTTGAATATCGTCGACCTTTGAACCAGGAGATCACCGTCAGGGCACATGTCCAGGATTGCATGCTTAATCCCCAGTACGGGGCGTGCAGGAGGCAGCTGATCAATGATTCTCTCATTGATGTTGAGAGACATCATTGATGTCTATCTCTCTCTCCCTCTTTATCTCTGAAATCAATAAAATTATATTTGAAAAAGAAAAAGGTTTCAATAGTTTGTCAAAGACCTCCAGATTCTGAAAGTATACTTTTTAAAAATTATGTTTTATTTATTTTTAGAGAGGGAGGGGGATAGAGAGATAGAAATATTGATGAGAGAGAAACATCATCTATTGGCTGCCTCCTGCACGCTTCCTGCTGGGGATCAAGCCTGCACCCCAGGCATGTGCCCTGACTGGGAATTGAACTGGTGACCTCTTGGTTTCTGGGTCATGCTCAACCTCTGAGCCACACCAGCTGGGCTGAAAGTATACTTTTAGAAGTAGTGTTCTGTGGGAGGAATACAGGCTGGACTCCCAAGTAAATGCAAGTGTGTGGGGTTTATTTTGTTGTTTTCTTAATCTTCACCCAATGATATTTTCCCACTGATCTTTAGAGAAAGTGGAAAAGAGAGGGAAAGACAGGGAGAAATATTGATGTGAGAGAAACACCGATGGGTTGCCTCCTGCACGTGCCCTGCCCAGGGTCCAGGCCGGGGAGGAGCCTGTAACCCAACCGAGGTATGTGCTCTTGACTGGAATTGAACCCAGGACTTGTTGGTCTGCAGGCCGATATTCTATCCACTGACCCAAACTGGCCAGGGCCAAGTATGTGTTTTTTTAATGCTCCTTTCTTGCAATAGCAAGGCACTTCTATCTCTGAGCCCCAGTGCAAGTTAAAGTTCTTTGGAAGGAAGATTATCTTAGGAGAAACAGGATTCTGGGCTCTTAGGTTAGTGTTATACTGCTCTAACCAGCAAGCCCTTTCTTCTTTCCTGTCATAAGCAAGTTATGTCTTTGCTCAGAGAGGAATTAAAACTCTTCATTAGTGTGAATTACGGATTTTCATGTCCCCTGGCCTCCCCCTTCTCTGAAAACTCTTGAAGGAAGCTCTAACAATAGAGAAAATTGGTAGATAGGAAATTGTGAAACAATTTGTTACTTGAACTGTTGGCTCTGACTGTGGAACACTATCTTGATTCTGATTTTATCTTTTTATTTCCCCAGGAGAATCATCAATAAACACACTGATGAGTCATTAGGTGACTGCTCTTTCCTGAATACATGTTTCCACATGGATACCTGCAAATATGTTCACTATGAAATTGATGCTTGCATGGATTCTGAGGCTCCTGGGAGCAAAGATCATACACCAAGCCAGGAGCTTGCTCTCACACAGAGTGTTGGAGGTGATTCCAATGTAGATCGACTCTTCCCACCTCAGGTACCTGTTGGCTAAGAAAACTTACCTCAATTTATGGACTTAATCTGAATAGGGCAGCCATACATGTAGGAAAGCAGGGCATAATTAGCAGTTTGTTTTGCTGATTGGGAATGGAGTGGGATAGATATGCTTAAAAGGGAGTAGGAAAATAGTTGGAAAAGAGGGACTGGGGCCATGAATCTCAGAGTGGAGGAAGGGAAGATGACCAAATACCACCTCATGCAGTGGATCTGTTGTGATATCCGCTACCTGGACGTCAGTATCTTGGGCAAGTTTGCAGTTGTGATGGCTGACCCACCCTGGGATATTCACATGGAGCTGCCCTATGGGACCCTGACAGATGATGAGATGCGCAGGCTCAACATACCAGTACTGCAGGATGATGGCTTTCTCTTCCTCTGGGTCACAGGCAGGTAATGCAGTTCAAAGATGTGTAGTTATGGGCAGGAATAGTACAGAGTGAGTACTGGGTGGGGATAAAATCCTGGGTTTTCCTAGCTGTGCTATTAAGATTGAGTCAGCCTTTTTTTTCCTACTGAGACCTAATGCTTATTTATAACAAATTATACCTTAAGTCCTATTTAACTTTACATTTGTTCCTTGTGAAAGGTAAGGCCACTGAGAATGGATACTGTTTTGTTTTTACATTCTTAAATCATCCTGTTGCCTTAATGGTGTCTTGCATGTAATGATGTTCACTGAGTATCTATTGAAAACAACACATATCTTGAAGCGAAAGAAAAAACAGGCTTGGAAGTAGCTGTTTAACTCTTTTTTCTTTCTAGGGCCATGGAGTTGGGCCGAGAATGTCTGAACCTCTGGGGGTAAGTGTTGCTTTCCTTTGGGGGAAATACATAATTGCTATAGTTGAGATATCTGTTTATTTCTCCCCGAGTATTCCTGTGATTCCTTACCACTGTAGAGTAGATGGTACTACTCCTAAACTGTGAAAGCCTGATTAAAGCTCTAGTTCTTTCTTATGCCCCACAGTTATGAACGGGTAGATGAAATTATCTGGGTGAAGACAAATCAGCTGCAACGCATCATTCGGACAGGCCGTACAGGTCACTGGTTGAACCATGGAAAGGAACACTGCTTGGTGAGCAGCAGTGGGGTTCAATTCATTAGGTGGAGCAAAATAGAGGAATTATGTGACTTCTTATTGAGAAAAAGTTCAAATGTAGGGCTTCATAAGGTAATCTGTTCTCTGTGGTGAGCAGGTTGGTGTCAAAGGAAATCCCCAAGGCTTCAACCAGGGTCTGGATTGTGATGTGATCGTAGCTGAGGTATGTGCTTCCCAGGCATCCAACGTTTTCACATTTTAATTGATATTAGTTATTGAGGTCAAGGGTATTCTTGTCCCGAGTTCTCTCATTTGGATCTTAAAACATAAATGGAAAGGGCTAGAATTGCAATCTTGGGTAACTTAAAAGTAGCTAGACCCTTTATTTTCTAGGTTCGTTCTACCAGTCATAAACCAGATGAAATATATGGCATGATTGAGAGACTATCCCCTGGCACTCGCAAGATTGAATTATTTGGACGACCTCACAATGTGCAACCCAACTGGTAAGGTGACCAAAGAACATGTTAGCCCCCATGGGCAAAAGTATTTATAGTCAAGGACATTAGTTAGTAGCGTTTCACATCATATTCCAGTATTCTGTAAATGGGCTTCAGAGGATTCATAAGCCGACTAAGTTATTTTATTTTAGACTGTTTTACAGGGTTCTGCAACATTCATTGGAAATCCCATAGGTTTTAGGATTCAAACCACTGTTCTCTAGATTCCACTTTTACAACCTAATGATATTCCTATTAGTCTATGGTTTTTTAAAAAACATATATTTTATTGATTTTTTACAGAGAGGAAGGGAGAGGGATAGTTAGAAACATCGATGAGAGAGAAACATCGATCAGCTGCCTCCTGCACACCCCTCACTGGTGATGTGCCCTCAACCAAGGTACATGCCCTTGACTGGAATTGAGCCTGGGACCCTTCAGTACGGAGGCCAATGCTCTATCCACTGAGCCAAACTGGTCAGGGCTCTATGGATGTTTTGAATCTTTCCCCTGGTGGTTACTAAGAATCTAATCTGTCAAGAATTTTAATATCTTTCATTCTATTAGTAGAGCTTTAAAAGACACGCTAATTAATATTTTTAAATTGAATTTATTTGGGTGACATTGGTTCATAAAACCATACAGGTTTTAAGTAAATTCAATTAAAAAAATAAATTTTAAAAAAGTAAATAAGAGACATGCTGCTAGCATTGTACTTATCCAAGGAATACTCACTGGCAGCAACAGCTTTGAAAAGTAGGCCTGGTTAGCCATCAGTTATTAACCCTTAAGTAACACAGATCCTGCCTATTTTACCACCAGATTCTTCCCATTCCTAATCAGTCATGCTTCCACATACTATTCTATTAAGGTCTTTTAAAAAGAGTATTTGATGAGATGATAGGCAGTCTTAATAAAAGGTATTAGTATTTTAACAATATTAAGCCTTTTAATTCCAGGAATTTTGGTTTGCCCCATCTTTCCCCTTGCTTCAGGATCACCCTTGGAAACCAACTGGATGGGATCCACCTACTAGATCCAGATGTGGTTGCCCGGTTCAAGCAACGGTATCCAGATGGTATCATCTCTAAACCTAAAAATCTATAGAAGCACTTCCTCACAGAACTAAGCATCCATAGATATGGCTCTGCAGGCTGCATCTAAAGAGTAATATTTGTACCATAACTTTTTTTATTATTTAAATAAAAGTTTGTATCTCAGTAGGGATTCTGAGGTCAGATTTTGGCTTTGCCACTAAACAGTGTGTGAACTCATGTAACTCATCCCTCAGTATGATTCCTGATCATGTAAACTGGAAATATTACCTACTTCATTGGGTTGTGGTAAGGGTTCAAACTAAATGAATGCATGGAAAGCATTAAAATGTTGATTATACAGTATAGGATGGAAGTGATTAGTAATTAGTACTACATGAACAGGATAATAAAAAAGGGGCTCTGGGACAGCATTTCTCAAGGTAAGATTTGAGTTTCCCTTAAGGTTATCACTAGGGCTATATGCTCTAAATATTTGCTGATTCTGTTACAACTATGTGGCTTGGTAGTCTATTCTTTCGCTTAAATTTTCAAGAAAAGTGAAATAAGTGCATTTTAGATTAAATTTAAATGCTTAGGGTGTGCAGAGAATAGGCTTATATAAATTATGTAAGTGAAACCACTTCTGGCATATTTTTTAAAAGATAGCTTATCAAACACAACTGAATACAACTGTAGACTTCGGTGAAACCGCTTGTTAAACATGTAGAATTCTGCCTTTCACACTCAGATACTGTGATAGCTGAGGTAAGGAAAGACAATGACTATAAAAATAATATTTGTAAAGAAGAATAAATAAGAAAATCCTAAATGATGTTATTTTCCCTATAGCCCAGTGTGCCTACTGTATTGAAAAACCTTTGTTCTCAAAGCAATGTATAGATGTGATATTACTAGCTCTCTGTTTAAAAGGTATCCTTTAATTCAACCTTTAATTACTTTTAAAATGGTGCACACAGTGGTAGGCTCAAAGCTGATATGTACTCATAATTTTACTCTTTTAGGCAAGTCCTATGACAATTATACTAACAAGTTTCTTCAAACCACCCCCCTTCCCACCACCCCTATGTTCTGCTTGTCCATATCCCCTTCACCCTTTCCTCTGCTATTATCACTGGCATCTCTGCTTGTACTTGAAAGTAAAGAGCAACCCCAGATTACAGCAAACTCAATGACCCTGCTCCATAGCCTGGCCCCTTGCTGAAGAGAGGAAAGGGGAGAAGCATGAAGGGACCATCATGGGCTCAGTTCAGGTACTATGAGAAGCCCGGCTTGAGTTTTCAAAGCAGGGTCTTGGACATGTTCCTGGCAGATAAATCTTCACTGGCTTGGAGAACAGGAAGGACTATTTTACAAACACCACTGTGTTCGAATTTCTAGAGGCTAACCAGGCCAAGAAGACATCCCTAAGAGAAAAAAAGATACACATAAACAGAATTATAGCTTAGTGTATTCTTTCTTAACTCTGTCTTAAATAAATAGGTTCTCAGTTCACTACCTATAGCATCAAAGTGAAATGGTATCACTCAGTAGAAATATTAGGGCAACAGGCCTAAAAGTCAGCAGTATAGGCAATCCTAGTTTACTGAAGAGGATTTGACATAGAAAATACCAATGCCTTGTTTCATGAATGTAGATAAATCCCAAGAAAATTTGGGGAGATAGACAAAATCTTCAGAACTCCTCCAACTCCTGCCATACTATACTTAGCACCTTATTATGCTATTTATCACTTATCCATTCCTCCTCAAATTCTAATTCCCTAAGTGTTCTGATTTGCACTAAGGAGATAAGCAAAGCTAATATTCAGTCACTAACTGCTTAATGTGTCATCATACATTTAAAGAGCATACCTAAAGGTAAATGTGGTACCTGAGAAGCGTGACTGCTAATTATCTTTGTGTAGCAATTATATATATAAGCGCTTTATAAGCAGGGGAACTTTTCTAGTAGTCTTACATGTCTAGTAGACATATACATGTATATACCAACTTACTTTACCTAAGGTAAGGTATACTCTAAGGTAATACTGACATGCTCAGGGTTACCATGTTTTCCAACAGTTAATTTTAGCAACCCCTGAATTATAAGAGAAACTATAACTCACCTGCAGTGCTTCACCACACATTCATTGCTGCAGTATTCATTGTCCCAGTCCTTACTCGCAACGGGAGGGTTCTCACAACCAGACCTCACACAGCGAGGCTGTGGTGAGATTGTCACTGGAGACCCACTCACCAATTCAACATCCATTTGAGAAGGAGACTCAACCTGTGAGAGGAAGAGAGCACCAAAGATGGATTAGATTTGTTACCTACCTTGCCAGACACTAGTCAAATTAACTTTGGGACCTAATGGAGCAAACAGGAGTTAACATCCCTACATATGGGGTACATTTCTAAAGAAGATGAGTTCTTGGTCTCCTGCTTTTTATCCAGTTTTAGAACTTCGCCAAGCAGACTGACATGAAGTTTCTTCCCATTAGGAGAATGCTGGCATATGCTGGTATACTGACCCTTTAACAACTCAGGTTTGAACTGCGAGGGTCCACTCAAGTGTATGCAGATTTACCTGCACAGTTAAAGGGTCATTATTTTTGATCCAGGTCAGGAATCCATGTATGTGGAGGGTCAACTACTAGTTTTACGTGTGCACGGTGGGTCACTGTTCTCTTTAATTTTAATCTTACCCATCACTGACTTTAGTCCACACTTGGATAATATTCCTCTGAAAATATAAAATCAAAAGTAGAATGTGAAAAGAGGTTGGGTCACCTCAACTAAGATTTCGAGAATTAAGAGAAGACAAAATGTGCCATTAGAAAATGTGAAGAACTTGCAAATTCATAGTTTCCTCCTGATAGAAGGATTATTTTTCTTTAAAATTACTGCTTCATCAATTGTGGAGCTAGTCTCAGACCCATACTTAAAAATAACCACTGGTCATGTGTAAGTTAAAGCTAGGGTAATGGACATCTGTTTGTCACTCTGGACTCATTGATATGAACCAATTGAATTTTTCTAGCTATATCCGCTAGTCCCCCACTGAAAACATCAAGCCAAGCAGTCCAGATATAGGAGAAATGGAAGCACTTAAACCTCCAAAGTTTAGGATCCTTGGGTAGATACCTCCAAAAAATAACTCTGGGCTTGGGTTGTATCCTCTCTAGTCAGACCACAGTATTTTTCTTAGTTAAGGAGTCGTCTGGGAAAGGAGGTCCTCTTAATGCTTCTCACCAAGAACACTACGGAGTATCCTGGGTGGGAACTGTCCTTTACAGGATGTTTCATACTCCTGGTTGCCAAGCATTAAGTGCTAATGGCAACGCCTACTTTTATTGGATCATCAGAGGAAACTGATCATCAAAGGAAAGACTTGAAAACTGGCTCACCTCAGGAACCACATCTGTGATCATCTCACAGATTGTATCAGTAGAGGTCTCCTCCACTGTATGGGCCTCAGGGCTGGTGTTCATAGGCCGCTCAGGACTACTTTCCACAGCTGGCGGGACTAAGGTGGTCTGCATTTTCAGAGTGGGTCCAGGCACAATCTTGATCTGCAGAGGAGGTGGCTGTTGCTGTAAATTGATTCGAGCTTTCTGAGGTGGAGGCTGTTGCATGGCCTGGAGTGGGGGAGGCTGCTGCAGGATGGTCACTTGCTGAGTGGGGGGCTGAGGCATCTGTTGCAATGGAGGAGGTTGTAGTCGGGGTGGAGGCAGCTGCATAGAAGCAGCAGCTGCTGCTGCTGCCTGCAACACTGACCGAGTAACAATCTGGGCTTGTTGACTGGGCTGTATAGTAGCTGTGCTGGTCTGGCCTAGTTGGATCCCCCGGGAGGTCACCACTGTGGCTGGGATAACAGTAACCATCCCTCCTTGAGACATGGTAATAGATGAAGGCAACATCTGTTTGGTAATAATCAACTTGGTGATATTAGGCTGACCCCCAGCCCCAGAAGATGCCTGATTGGCCACATAGGATGAAAGAGTGGAGTTAACAACAATGGAAGGAGACAGAGCAGGGGGCTCTGTTGAGGCTGGTGCTGGAGATGCTGGGTCAACAGTAGCAACAGGAGGTGGAGAAGGAGTCTGTGATGGTGGCACTGGATCCAGCTCCACTGTTTCCACAGTGGCCTAAAAGAAGACCAGAAAAAAAAAAAGTCACTCAGAAATTTTCTGTATTCCCTGAGACATATTCACTTTAATCACCGCCCAAAAGACAATGATAGACTGAAAAGAAAAAAGAAAAAAAAAGGAAAAAACCAGCTGTGGGTGCTACCCTGTCTAAAGTAAACAATGAAAATAAACTCACAAGGACTGGTTGGTAAGATTTATGATGGGAACAACAGGAAACCATGCTGTATATATTTCTAAGCTTTAACTACTAGTTAAGAGGTTGCACAGGTTTTTGGTGGTATTATAACTAATAAACAGCTTGAAAAAATCTTTTATTGGTTTAAATATCCATCTGCCATAACCCTCTTACCTGACACTCTTGATTGTCTTTATAAGCAGCCAGAGCTTTCAGATACTCTTTCTTGGCAGCCTCAGTTTTCCTCTTATATACCTGCAGGAAAGAAAAACTGTTTAAGAAGTGCCCAAACACCTAGAAAAGACTGATTATCCTATTATTCATCACTGCATGACAATCTCAATCTGAATACTGACAACTCCAGCTTGGCCAGTGTTGCTCAGTGGTTGAGTGTCGACCTATGAACCAGGAGGTCATGTTTCGATTCCCATTCAGGGCATATGCCTAGATTGTGGGCTTGCTCCCCAGTGTGGGCGTGCAGGAGTTAGCCAATCAATGATTCTTTCCCATCATTGATGTTTCTCTCTCTCTCTCCCCCTCTCCAAAATCAAGATATATATATTTTTCAAAATGAATACTGACAATTCCTTTTAGTGAATATACTTTTGAAAGCTAGTAATCAAGACAGCCTTCATGTCAGACTTTCCAGTGACCAAGCATATGAAAGCCAGCCAATCAACAAGAATCTTGCCAACCCTGACTGGTTTGGCTCAGTGGATAGAGCATCAGCCTGCGGACTGAAGGGTTCCAGGTTTGAGTACAGTCAAGGACCCATGCCCAGGTTGCAGGATCAATCCCCAGTACGGGTGTGTGTGTGTGTGTAGGAGGCAGCCAATCAATGATTCTCTCCCATCATTGATGTTTCTATTTCTCCCTCTCCCTTCCTCTCTGAAATTAATAAATATATATTTAAAAAAGAAAAAGAATAAAACTAAAAAAAAAAAAAAAAAAAAGTAGCTTGCCAGAATAACTACACTTCTAAAGTTAACACCAACCCATGCCCACTTCTATTAGCAAAACAAATCCTGATTAGTTGCTCACCTGTTTTTGCTCCTCTCCAAGACTGTCCCACATGGAGGCCACAATTTTTGAAACTTCTCCAAAAGTAGCATTGGGATTCTGTCCCTTGATGGCAGCCTGTGTATCACGAAAGAATAAGGCATATGCTGAAACTGGTTTCTGAGGTTCATTAGGATCTTTCTTTTTTCTCTTCTTTGGGGTCTTCTGCTTTTTTCCTGCTTCCACAACAACTGTCTTCTGGCTGGGAAGTTGCTGCAGGGGAGAAAAGAGAGAATTACAAGAAGGAAGAAGGGATGTATATCTGGAGAACTGCAAGAAAAGGACTTTTATATGGGGAAACTAGCTACATGGAGAAATTTTCAGAAATACTAAGAATAGAGGCAATAGGATTAAGATATTAGTAAAGTATGTGAGGACCAATAAGAATGAAGGTTGGGAGGAACGTTACAAACTATAAATTGAGAGGCAGGACCCCATACCCAGAAAAGAGCAGAGGAGATGGCAGAACAGGTGCAAAGATACTAAGTAGCTCTATATGCCAAGAGTTTTATCCCAGAATATCATGGCAGATTTGATTTTTGGCAGGGAATGCCTCACCCTCCGGAAATCCTCAACACCATCCTCATGAAGTGAATTAGTAGGTGAAGGGGTGGTTGAAAGACGATCCTCAGGTGACTGGGCAGGTGGCAGAATGGTACCACCCCCTAAGCTCAAACCAAGTTGAGAACTCAGTTCTGACTGATCAATGGTGGTCAACTGGTTATGCCCCATCAAGCCAGACGTCATGTCTGCCATTGGTACATCAATTGTAACAGGTGGGTTGGCGCTATACTGAGTTCCTATAGAATGGTCCAAGTCCTGAGAGAAGCAGAAGGACTAATTAACACTAAATATAAAGAACACCACTCTTCCCCCCACCGAGTTCAGGACAGTTTATAAACACCCTACTCATCTACATTGTATCACTGTTTAGACTCTAAACATAAAATAATCTGTCTACATATATAACATTAAGCTTTTAAATAAAGAATATAAATTAGTAAAGTCACTTCTTTGTACTCCAAAGCCTATTCCAAAACAACTAAAAATAACCACAGGTCTTAATTTTGGACAAATTAAAGAGTAAATAAATTATTTGGTAATCTGGAGGTAGTAATGACACAAGGAGTAAAGAAAAGCTTCTTCTCTGTACCCTGCTAAAATAATGGGGTTTAAAGTTGCAATACACAGGCAATGTGAGTAATAAGGCCGAAGTCAAGATGTTTCACATCAAATAAAATGTGTAGAGATTTGCTACTAATGAGATGTGCTGGAAGCCCAATATACTGATTTATAACACTAACCCACAGTTGATACATTTTGTTCAGACTGTTTTTGAATAAATCAATGTGCCAACTATCACACTCACATTTCAATTCTAGAATGTGAAGGCTATATTAAAAGGGGGGGAGACCTCCTGCAAGTCACAATAAATCATCTTCAATTCAGAGTTAATCCTCAGGTAACTGGACATTTTACAATTTTAAACCATTTTTCAAGTAAAATTGACTCAGATGATACATTTCATTCATTCAATGGACTTTAAGTCTTTATCAATGAGCCTTTATCCACAAAAATGAGAAACATGTAATATTCAAGTGCAGTAGGGAACAGAATCATTTTTATCTTCCCTAACACCATGCCCATGAGCTTGGATAAGCCTGAACATATCTTGCCCCTTACCATGGTCAAGCCCCCACTCAGGAGCCCCCCGCCCTGCTCCATCAAGCCATGGGTCATGCCCACAGGCATGTCCAATGTCTGGACCCCATATTGGGCTGAAAAGCTGCCATCCTGAGAGGAGGATGGGTCTGCCAGGTCATCAAAGTGGCCAACCACATCTGAGACAGCCAGTGACGGATCAGAATCCAAGGAGATAGGTGGGATTTCAAATTCCTCATCACCCAGGCTTGGTGTATGGAATGTCTGTAGGGGGAAAAAGAGAGGGAAAATAATTTGGGAAGAGGAGAAACTGTATACTTCTAAGTGAAGAACATGGCTGAGTACTGGAGATTCTCAGTGTACCTCTTTCCAGCCTGGATCCTACTTTTGTTATCAATTTCTTAGGGCCTATTCTATTTAGTTTTATAAATAAACCTCTCTTTCTCATATCCTTGGATATATGGCACATACAAAGCTGCCAACATCAATCACAATTTTCAATTCTTTTATCTCTTTTCTACTTTTATCATCTCAGTGGTCCTAAAATATTATGTCTATTATTCTAATGAATGATCCTTTCAGCAGCATTAGTAAGGACTCAGACTTTATTACCTGTTTAGCTATGATGTTTAAAATCTTTCCAAATATTCTAAAGATTTCACTACTACTATGCCTGAGCTTTTAGACCACAGAAATTCATTGTCAACCAGACAATTATATTTTGTTGTTTTAGGTTCCTTTGAAGCTTTTCCTATCATGGGTACCTTATCTCCCTCTAAAATGTATGCACTCAGAGTTTCCTACATCTTTTCCATTTTAGAAATCATGATGTTAACAACAAATAAGATTCCCATTTGTACAGTACTTTTGGAAAATCCAACAATGCCAAAAGAAGGATAATAGTGAGGCGAAAAACATAAGAGCTACAGTCAAAAGACAAACTGGTGCTCACTTTGGCAGCACATAAGCTAAAATTGAAAGATTACCATGGCCCCTGTACAAGGATGACATGCAAATTCATGAAGCATTCCATATATATATTTTTTTAAAGGCAAACTGGTTTTCTATCAGCTCCTGAACATATTCTTAATCTTGCTCTGACCAAGCCTTTCTGTTAAGTGAGGAAGAAAAAGATTACTCCAGCTGGCTAAAGACTCAATCCCTTCCTCTGAGTCCCACTACAAAAATAATATACTCTTTCTATTCTGAATGGGGCCACCATACACAGAGCTAACAGACCAATTGCTGACATAAGACACATTAAATGTTACGGTTTCTTTTGACATTAAAAAAACTAAAATGGCAACCAGCTAGTGTGACTCAGTGGCTGGGTGTCAACATATGAGTCAGATGGTCATGATTTGATTCCTGGTCAGGGCACATGCCCGGGTTTCAGGCTCAATCCCGTTGGGGGTGTGCAGGAGGCAGCCAATCAATGATTCTCTCTCGTCATTGATGTTTCTATCTCTCTCCCTCTCCCTTCCTCTCTGAAATTAATAAAAAATATATTAAAAACAAAATAAAGTAAAAAAACTGTAAGATGAATCTATAGCACTAGAGCATTACACAGGGTAGGACAAAAGCACGTTTATAGTTATGAGTATGCAAAACACAGTTTATTCTTGTACTATTAGATATTGTATGATTTTCCATATGAACTAAAAACTTATATTTGCCCAACCCTGTAAATAATATCGAGAGACATTGGCGTCAAGAGAGGTCTTGGTTCAAGTTCCAGCTCTGCCACTTACTATATAATCTTTTTTTTTCTTTTTTAAATATATTTTTATTGATTTCAGAGGGAGGGAGGGAGAGAAGGAGAGAGAGAGAGAGAGAGAGAGAGAGAGAGAGAGAGAGAGAGAGAGAGAGAGAGACATCAATGATGAGAATCATTGATCAGCTGCCTCTTGCACATCCCCTACTGGGGATCGAGCCCACAACCTGGGCATCGAGCCCACAACCTGGGTATGTGCCCCTGACCAGAATCAAACCTGGGACCCTTCAGTCCACAGGCTGACACTCTATCCACTGAGCCAAACTGGCTAGGGCTATATAATCTTAAATGAGATTTCCTTATCTATAAAACAGTAGTTGTAATGGTAATTTCCTTATATGGTTTTTATGAGGATTAATTGGATTCAGCACACAAAAGCTGATCGCATTGCTTGATATACATAATTGCTTAATAACTGTTATTAACATCTGAATTATTATTAACTTGCCATCTGCCCCAACCAATTATCATAGGTAGTGAAATTTTGGAAGCTTTAAATTTTATCAACCTGTCACATGGCATAGTAAATGTCAACTGATTCAGATAAAATGGATAAAATGCAGTACACATCCATATTTTTTTTATGATTAAATAATGCATTCTAAGAGGTCCTCTGGTTTTTCTACACCCAGAAAGGGTCTCAGTAATATCATTTTTATTTTAATGAAGACATTGCTAGAAGAATATTTCCAGGCAGTAGACACTAGGGAGAAAAAGGTATGTTTCTGAAATGCCCAATCTCTCTGAATCGTATATAGCTTCATTTCTATTTTCCTCTTCCAAGATCCTTACTATTTTACTTAGGGTAAAAATTTGGTAGTTGTCTGGGCTATAATATGACAGTAGCATAAGGAATACAAAAGCAGGCAGTTCTTGATGGAAAAAGTAAATATCTCCCTAAGAACTGAACTCTTCTTAGTACACAATTCATAATTTGTTATTGTGTGAAAGTTCTTATCTCTAGGTCCATGACTCTGAATTCGTTTTACCACCTTAAAAATACTGTTTTTTTATTTGAGTGAGGGAGAGAAGGAAGGATTGAAGGAGGGAAGGAGAGAGATCAATTTGTTGTTCTGCCTTTTTTTGCATTCATTGGTTGTTTCTTGTATGTATCCTGACCAGGGATTAAACCCACAACCTTGGAGTATTGGGACAGCACTCTAAGCAACTGAGCTACCCGCTACCCAGCCAGGGCTTACATGACACTGAAATTTCAGTTTAGATTCATGTGAGCACTTTTCAGGAAGTGGGTACAAAGATTTTTATTTTTTTTAACCAAATTCTCATGCAAACAAACAAGCTACAGAGACAGGAAAAAGAACAGGGGAAACATTTATTGTGCTAGATCAATCGTTATATAATAGCAGTTTAAAAAATTTTTAAAGATACAGATTGTTTTGGCAAAGTAAAAGATGCCTATCCTCAACAAATGATGCTTACCATACAAATAAAAAAGCAACCCTGCTGAGATATAAAAATGATACTATCTGTTAATGAAAACTCTAAAAGAGTAAAAATTCATATCCAAAACAAGAGACCAGTGTTCTACAAAGGACTAGCCCTCACAAACCATCTGGAGTGCTCTCATGCACTACACTAAAAAAACAGACATGCAGAGATTCCACTGTATGAATTAACAAGGCATTCTTTGTATGTAACCTTCTGAAAACAGCTTTGTTAGTCACTATCTGTGGCTTTAATAGTATTGTGTGTGTTTTGGGGGGAAAGCGGAGAGGTGGGCTGTGTTGTTTTGTTTATTTTGGGTTTCTTCCTTTAAGTATGAAGAGTAAAATAATGGCAATGAATAAGAATACGGAAGGGTAAACCACATGCTAGAATAAACACAGAGACTCCCTCAAAATCCCTTTACTACTACAAATGATTTGAAAGATTATGGTTAAAATCCAATTATGAAAATCCAAACTTATTTTATTTTAGTGGATCTACTACATAACTAGATCATATTCTAAACTAGGCTGTCAAATATAAAACAAAGATAACTGTAGCAAGTATTAAAGTAAATATAAATGAATTGGGCACAGAAGGAGAAAATAGAAACATGATGCAGTTACCTTCTCACTCAGCTTTCTTTTCCTTCTCTGTTAAATTCCTGGGCCTTTTAGGGGGAAGAAGCAGTTTGGGAATTACAGTTTATAAAATAAGGAGGCTGCCCAGCTGGTGTGACTCAGTGGTTGAGCGTTGACCTATGAACCAGGAAGTCATGATTTGATTCCCGATCAGGAGACATGACCACGTTTCGGGCTCGTTCCCAAATGTGGGGCATGTAGGAGGCAGCCGATCAATGGTTCTCTCTCATCATTGATGTTTCTCTCTCTCTCTCTCCCTTACTCTCTGAAATCAATAAAAATGTTTAATAAAATAAGGAGGCTTACCTATTGAGAGAACAACAAAAAACCAACAACAAACCATTTCCTTCCCATTTCACACTTCCATACCAAAACACACAATCCAGCGTTTCTTTAGTTTCTTGTGTAAATTTTTCATTTTAAAGAAATTTAATCCATCACCTATTTATTCAATAATACACTAGTACTATGTGTTATTTAAATAACTTATTGTTCTTAAAAACTGATATAGTAGCCCTGGCTGGTGTGATTCGGTTGGGAGTCAGCCCTAGCGCTGAAAGATTGCCAGTTCCATTCCTGTCAGGATAAATGCCCAGGTTGCAGGCTCCATCCCCAGTAGAGGGTGTGCAGGAAGCAGCTGATCTATGTCTTGCTCTCACATCAATGTTTCTTTCTCTCTCTCTGTCCTCACAAAAACCCATTTTAAAAAAACAACTGATATAGTAGTGATTTTTAACTATTCAGCCTGAAATCATTAACTGGGTCTAATCTTATAAATGCTATTTCTAATTAAGGTATGTTTATGATTACTATTTTCCCAAAGTACTCAAAACACATTATCATTATACTAGAGGCCTGGTGTACAAAAATTTGTGCACTGGGGGGGGGGGTCCCCTCAGCCCGGCCTGTGCCCTCTCGCAGTCTGGGACCCCTTGGGGGATGACCACCTGCTGGCTTAGGCCCGCTCCCCAGGGGATGTCTACTTGCCAGTGGGGAGCAGGCCTAAGCTGCAGTCAGACATCCTTAGCACTGCTGAGGAGGCAGGAGAGGCTCCCACCACCACTGCAGTACTGGCAACCTGTGGCTGAGCAGAGCTCCCCCTGTGGGAGTGCACTGACCACCAGGGGGCAGCTCCTGCACTGAGTGTCTGCCCCCTGGTGGTCAGTGTGTGTCATAGTGACCAGTCATTCCCAGTCATTTTGCTGTTAGGGTCAATTTGCATATTACCCTTTTATTATATAGGATAGGAGCCAACCTGAATGAAACAAAAGATTAAACTCCCTTTAGATTATAGACATTTCCTATTTCAAGCAATGTTATAACAAATGCTATGCTTTTCTCTCTGGACACCTACTCTTTAAAAATTATTTTTTATTGACTAAAGTATAACTTATGTACACAATTTTTAAATATATACTTCAATGGATTTTTTACATATGCTAACATCCAATTAACCACCACTCAGATCAAAGATACAGACATTTCTATCACTCCAAAATATTTTTTCATGCTCCTTCCCAGTCAATGCTCCCCCCTTCCACAATAGATATCACTATTCTGATTTATATCACTATAGTTTAGTACTGCATATTTTTTATCTTCATTAAAAATGAACTCATATAGTGTCTATTCTTTTATGTCTGGCTTCTGTTACTTACAATGTATTTTTGAGATCATCCGAGTTGCATTTATTAATAGTTCATTTTTTATTGCTGTGTAGTATTCCTGTTTACACATGTACCAGTTTATAGACACTTGGGTTGTTTCCAATGTTTAGCTACTATGAATAAAACTGCTGTGAGCATACATGTTTTGGGTGAATATATGCACTCATTTCTCTCATGTGTGTATCAAAGAGTGGAATCACTAGGTCACAGGGTAAGTATATGCTTATCCTTACTAGATACTGCCAGTTTTCCAGAGTGGTTGAATCAATTTACACTCTTAGCAGCAATGATTAAGAGTTATCTATATCCTTTTCAACTCTTGGAATTGTCGGTCTTCTTAATTTTAAACATTCTGGTGGATGTGCAATGGTATCTCCTTAATTTTAATTGGCATTTCTCTGATGAGTGATGATGACCCTTTTTCATATGCCTAGTGGCAATTTGGATTCGCTCTTTTGTGAAGTATGTGTTCAAATCTTTTGCTCATACTAGCGTTATCAGGTGATCACTTCCTAAGTTATATAAATGTGTAGTCACTATGTTGTACACTATGTCAACTGTAACAAAAAATATAGGGAGAGACAGGATTTAAACAGAGATCTCTCCATCACCATGCACTACTTCCTATCATGACATATTTGCAAAAAATTCAGCACCTAGAAAGTACTCAATATAATGAATGCCCTGGCTGAGGAGCTCAGTTGATTAGAGCATTGTCCTACATGCCAGATTGCAGATTCCATCCACTGTCAGGGCACATTCAAGAAGCAACCAATGAATGCATAAATGGGTTGGACAACAAATTGATGTCTCTCTCTAACCCCCCCCCCTTCTCTAAAAGAAAAATTTTTTAAATTACCTTTACTAGTTCTAAGTGGCTCACAATAAGACCAGACACAACAAAAACCATAAACCAATTAAAATAAAGCTAAAAAAAAATAAAAAAAACACAACCAAAAAAAACGGGAAAGGAAGGTGAAGTGGCAATGAGGAGAAGAACTATTAACAATGGCAAAATCCTGGGCTAAAAGAAGCCACTGAAATTTAGTTATCAGCTTCTTCGCAAAGTACTTTTGTCTTAAAGTCATAAAAACAAAAACAAAGGACCGGCTCAAACCCATCAAGTTTCTAGATGTGGACAATGTGAAATTTGCCACAGTCTAAATAAAGAAACTTAAATGTGGAGACCTGATTTAGAAGAAATTGGCAATGATGCACTTTCTTTTTCTTTTAAGTCTTTTTTAAAAATACATTTTTATTCATTTTAGAGAGGGAGAGGGACAGAGAGAAACATCAATGATGAGAGAGAACCATTGATCAGCTGCATCCTGCACGCTCCCCACTGGGGACCGAGCCGCAGCCAGGCATGTGCCCTTGACCGGAATGGAACCGTGACCTCCCGGTGCCGATAGCTCCACGCTCGGCCACGGAGCCACGCCTCAACACCACAAGGAGCGGCCACTGAAGCCGTCTGACAGCTGGAGAAACTGGGACACACAGAGGTGACGCAACCCGAGTCACCGGCGAACAGAAGCCCCTGTCTCACTTAACTTCTTTCATGTTTTCTGGTAACGACTTCCTTTCATCCTGTCACTAGCAAAACAAGCTAACTTTTCTGTTTTCATCGCTGAGTAGGAAATTTGAATGAAACAAAGACCCCCTTCCCCTCTCAACAGAGTTGTTTCAAGAAGGAACACAGCCCTGACCGGTTTGGCTCGGTGGATAGAGCGTCGGCCTGGGGACTCAAGGGTCCCAGGTTCGGTTCTGGTCAAGGGCATGTACCTGGGTTGTGGGCACATCCCCAGTCGGGGGTGTGCAGGAGGCAGCTGATCGATGTTTCTAATTCTCTATCCCTCGCCCTTCCTCTCTATCAAAAATCATATATATATATATATATATATATATATATATATATATATATGGAAGGAACACATGCCCACGGCTAGCCCCTTTTAAGGCAAGCTCCTTCCCTCCCCCCAGATTCTCTAGCTGATATATTCTCTTCCCTCTGCGATTCCCTCGAGATGGTCAGTTACTTCTCCCCAACCGAAGGAGACACTTTCACGCTGTCTTCCCCCCAAGAATCACTCGGAAATAGGTTAGCTCTTCCCTCCGCCCCGCTTTCCTGATGAGAGCAGCTCCCGGGCCTCCCCTTCGTCCTCGGGGTCCAGAGGAGCCGAAACACCAGCAGCGGCCTCGGTTGCCAGCCCCCGGCCCCGGGGTCCTCGCCTCCCCGCCGCTTCCTCCCGCCCCAGCCCTCCCCCCAGCGCCGGCCGCTCGTGCTCACCTCGGCCCCTGACAGGAAGGGGTGCGAGGGCCCTGTGATCGTCAGGTAATTGTCATTTCCTCCGGGAAACTGGAAACCAAAAGAAAGCCGCGGGGATAAGTTAGGGAGGAAGGGAGTTCGCTCGGAGTGACGGGTTCCGACCCCGACGTTCAGACCAACACTCCCCCAACCCCGCGCTCTCTGCGGTCCCGTCAACTGTCTCTCCGCCCGGCTTCCCGCCTCCGCTCCAACCCGGCCAGCCGCGCTCTCTCTCGCCAGCCTTCGCAGCGCTCGTTCCTACCTCCATCTTCACACAACGGTTACCACCGTCTCGGTCCCCTCACATCGTCCCCGCCGCCCCCGCCGGACCCGCGACCGCCGTCACTTCCGCAAGGACGCGCGTCGCTCTCCGCCGATTGGCAGGCGCGCCGGCTGCTGCGACTCCCGCCGGGAAGGCCCCGCGGACGGAGAGACTTGCTACCGCCCCCTGGCGCTTGGAGGAATTATGGCAGGAGGTGTGTTAGAGGCGTCCCGGGAGGCGGCGCCTGAGGACGACCGTGGCTCCCACCCAGAGAGGATTTCTGGGGAGAGCCATAGAGACGCGATCGGGACTAGAGGGGCCGGAGATGGGCGGATTGAGTGGCTAGAGAGGCCGGAGGCAAGTGGCTGTTGAAATCGGGCGGACCCGGAATCCAGAGGAAACAGGACCATGACTTATGCTTATCTCTTCAAATACATAATCATCGGGGACACAGGTAACCGGCGGGCGACTGCCCTCCTGGCTGGGGCGGGGATCCCCAGCTCCCAAATCAGGTCGTGGGGGCGGGGCTCAGTGGGCTGGGCGGTTAAGGTGAGAGCGGGCGGGGGCGGGGCGGGGCAGGGCGGCGGGGCGGGGCGGGGCTCGGGGTCTCCTTTCCCGGTTCCCAGTCCCCAGGCCCCGGCACCCGGACTCGGGGCTGCTCCCCGGCCGCGCGAAGGCTAGGCTGTGCGTCCTCCTCCCTTAGGTGTGGGGAAGTCATGTCTCCTCCTGCAGTTCACAGACAAACGGTTCCAGCCTGTCCACGACCTCACCATAGGTAAGTGCCTGTGCCTGTCCCGGAGCAGAGAGTGAAACCCGACGAGCTAAAGAGGAAAGTGAGCCGCCGTCAGGGTGGGAAGTAAAACGTTAGCTTTCCCTCCTTTTAAATTAGTCCAAAGTTATATTACATGAAGAGTGACCGATCAAACGCCGTAAATGGGGAATAGTGGAATGGGGGGGTACATCATTGAAAGGTAACTTTAGAAGTGAGCGTGAGGTATGAATTAGTTGCTGTAGGATTTGATTTTTTCTTCCCTAAACGCAATCTGAATATTTATGGAAAATCGCCCGAAAGCATAATTTACAAACTCGCTCTGCCGGAAATTACGGGTAGCTTCACGTAGGTTTTGTAAAGTAATTACCAATGTGTAGTCTTTTTGTGTGTTGGAGAGGAAGAAGCAAAGGGAAGAGCCATCCCAGACTTAAAAGGCAGCTGACACTAATAATTTATAAAGAAAGGAGTATGGTAGGTTTCCAAAAAAACGCACTGGTGATCCTGGAAGGTATAAACATCTTCCACACATTTGGGATAAGGCATGGCCTGCTGGGGCCTTAGTATTCCCGTCCCCATAATCTCCCTAACTTCACCCCAGACAAAGAAATGTATAAAACTAGCCTTCCTGCCATGCAAATGCAGTTTCTGAATCAAATCCCTGACTCCCATTCTTACCATATTGCCACCTCCAAGCCCCAGGTTATGGAAATCTGTAGCTACTACTGCTTCCAAAGAGCTTACCCAGAGCCAAATACCTAATGTGGTTACAAAAGGACTTAGAGAATTAGCAAAAACAGGAAAATATTTTCGGAAATGAATATTAAGTGGACACTCACACCATGATAGGTGCTAATGATGCAGTGCCTACCAAGGCAAACTTTGCCCTTAAGTAGCTTACAATCTTCCAGTGTAGGAGGTGGAGCTGGGAGTAGATACCGTCTAGTGACATGTAAATTCCTATTGCAAAGGGGAAGGAGAGACTGTCACCTCTCTCAGGAAAGGCTGGGAATTGAAGAATGAGCAAGAGTTAGCTAGGCAAAGGGCTTGTAGAGATGAGGTTGAAAAGTGATCAGGGCAAGAGGGAATAATAACGTGCAAAGGCTCAGGAATGATGGAGACCTGGCTACCTTTGGAAAAGTGAAAGTAGTTTAACATGGTTGGAGCATAGAGTTTGCAGTGAAGAGTGGTAAAAATGAAAGGCAAAGAATAAATTAGGGACCAAGTTTTGAAATACCCCGAGTAATAGGAGGAAATGACAAGTTTTTTGGTTTTTTTAAAAATATACTTTATTGATTTTTTTTTACAGAGAGGAAGGGAGAGGGATAGAGAGTTAGAAACATTGATCAGCTGCCTCCTACACACTCCCTACTGGGGATGTGCCTGCAACCAAGGTACATGCCCTTGACCGGAATCCAACCTGGGACCCTTGAGTCCACAGGCCTACGCTCTATCCATTGAGCCAAACTGGTTAGGGCGGAAATGACAAGTTTTAAATCTGAAGAATGATGTGATCAATCATGTTTTCCCCAGAGTCCATTACAGGCTCTGTTTCTTTCCTCAGTACCAAGATGAATTCAGTCTTCCGTACCAAGATAAACAAGACAGTTGGATAGAAAACATAGGCAAAATACAAGCATCTCTGAGTTTCTAAATAGAGAAAGTTGCATAAAAGGAGATGAAGTTTTGTGTTTGTTTTTTAACCTTCCCCATTGAAATTCCATTCCTATTTTCCAGAAAGGGGGGGAAAAAATAGGGACATTTTTCAGTAGCTATCACTATTCTTTATTTTTAAAATTATTATTATTTTTAAAGTTTTATTTCAGAGGGGAAAGGAGAGGGAGAGAGAGATAGAAATATCTGTGATGAGAGAGAATCATTGATCAGCCTCCTGCAAGCCTCCCACTGGGGATGGAGCCCACCACCTAGGCATGTGCTCTGACCTCTTTGTTCATAGATTGACACTCAACCACTGAGCAACACTGGCTGGGCTGTTTTTAAGTTTTGTCTTGACGTTACCTTGAAAGAAGATAGATGCCAGGAAAACCAGAACCTTTATTCAGACTGTCAGTTTCCATACTCCTATGAGGAAAGCTGTTTTCTATTGAACTCTTGAGAATTTTTGGAGGTCTGAAATGTATCATTCTTAAGAACCTATTTCTTAGGTAGGCTCTTTTGTCAAACAAAAAATTCTGGAATTGCAAAAATAGAAATAATTGTTTTATATAGAGGACTAAAGAATGACTTTGAGAAAAATGCTAGGAAATATTTCAGAATTTTTAGAAGTTTTTTTTAAAAAGTTACAAAATTAGCCCAAACCGGTTTGGCTCAGTGGATAGAGCGTCGGCCTGTGGACTGAAGGGTCCCAGGTTCGATTCCGGTCAAGGGCATGTACCTTGATTGCGGGCACATCCCCAGTAGGGTGTGTGCAGGAGGCAGCTGATCGATGTTTCTCTCTCATCGATGTTTCTAACTCTCCCTCTACCTTCCTCTCTGTAAAATATCAATAAAATATATATTTTTAAAAAATTACAAAATTAAACATTACCTAATCAATCTTAAACATGAAGTAATATTGCTAAAAATGTATTCACCTTTTCTACTTTGTTTTGTCCTCATATCTGTTCTTTGGTTACATTTCTGAGGTTATTATCACCTAGAACAGTTTTTAATTTTAGAAATGAAACTTCAAGAAACACAAATTAATTGGAGCAAACAGGCTGTGATAATGGGTTTAGTGGCACGGAGGGCAAAGTCATTAGCATATTGAAGAAAAGAGGAACTTCTCACTTACCATGGCTGTTCATGAGAATCACATTCTTTCTCTTGGTCTTCACTGACAGGTGTGGAGTTTGGGGCCCGTATGGTCAACATTGATGGAAAACAAATCAAACTGCAAATCTGGGATACGGTGAGAGAGGACAAAATAACACTGAAGGCCGATGAGCATGGGATGGGCTTTGTGGGTGGGGCTAATGGGGAAGAATGAAATCAAAGAGCTAGGGAAGCTTTCACTTCCCTCTGTTACAGTTACAAGTCCTGAATGCCATATTTTTAATTTTTTGTTTTAAATTACCCAAGTAATATATATGTTTGTTCTAGTAAAAATAAAAGCCAACCATATAAGGGTACAGAATCAGAAGTAAATGTCACATAAAGCTCTCTCCTTCCCAATGTTGGTTTTTTACTTTGCCAGAGTAAACCATTATTAATGATTCACACTTTTCCTCTGTATTTAAATACAGAAATAGAAACATAAACAAATATATGGTAGTGGTTTTATTTTGTTTTTAGAATTGTGACAAAGTAGACTTGCTTTGTGACTTGGGTTTTTGTTTTATAAACAATCTCTAAGTTGTGCAGATTTTTCCATGTTGATACATATAGATCTACCTCACTTCTTATAATCACTACATACAATCATAGAATGTCTGTACCATCATTAATTTAACCATTGCCCATGATGGAAATTTAGGTGGTTACCAAAATTGCAACGTTTCATTGTTTATTCTTATTTACTACATCTATATTCAGATATTTGAGGATTTCTGTGGTATACCTGCCCAGAAATGGAAATTCTGGGTAAGGGTTATGCATATTTTAAAATTTGACAAATGTTATCCTGCCAAAATTTAGTTGACTTCGTGTAATTTTATCCAGGTAAATTGCTTTCATATACATTATCTCATTTGGTTTGTACTTTTATTTTCCCTAAGAAAAATAATATTCTAGTCTCTATTTTAAGTTAAAGGGAGCTAGCACATAGTTCCTAATATTTAGCTAAAATCTCTATTTTTATTTACTTAACTAGAGGCCCAGTGCACAGTGGGGTTCCTCAGCCCGGCCTGCAGCATCTCCAATCTAGGACCCCTCGGGAGATGTCTGACTGCCAGTTTAGGCCCGACTGCCAGTTTAGGCGGCATTCCTCTCACAGTCCAGGACTGCTGGCTCCTAACTGCTCACCTGCGTGCCTGCCTGATCTCCTCTAACTGCCTCTGCCTGCTGGCCTGATACCCCTAAGTGCTCCCCTGCTGACTCTCCTCTGCTGGCCTGATCGCCCCTAATTGCCTGCTTCGCCCCCGTCACCATGGCTTTGTCCAGAAGATGTCCGGTCTAATTAGCATATTAGCTGAGCCAAACCAGCTAGGGCCATATTACTTTTTATCTTTCTTCATCCTTTATCTATATTTGCCCAAATAACCATGCTAACTGAAGAGGCATTGTACTATAGCTAATATAAAATATTAATTAAATAATCCCAAATTAATTTGTATTTTATTTTGGAATGCACTTTGGTTCTTAGGAAATGAGCGTATCTGACTTTGTAGGAATTTATGCTTCCAAGTATATGTCTTGAAAGTACAATATGCTTCCACTTGGAAGAAATTAGAAAACTTAATTCTCTTTATCAGACCTCCATCTTAGCCTTTGCTGTTTCAGATTTTTTACTTGGATGGGCAAATACCTCAGACTGATGCAGACCAGCCCAACTTGAACCAGTCTTTCTAGCTTATTAGCTCACAAACTTTGATTCATAAACTGGGCTGAGACGAAGTGATTTTATTTCATTTATTTATTTAAACATATTTTTATTGATTTCAGAGAGGAAGGGAGAGGGAAAGAGAGATAGAAACGTCAATGATGAGAGAGAATCATTGATTAGCTGCCTCCTGCACATCCTCTACTGGGGATTGAGCCCACAACCTGGGCATGTGCCCTTGACTGGAATCATACCTAGGGCCCTTCAGTCTGCAGGCCAAAGCTCTATCCACTGAGCCAAAGTGGCTAGGGTGTGATTTGATTTTAAAAGACATATTCTGATGACCCACTGTAAGTATTTTCAGCTGCTAAAGTTAAATGCTACCATATAATTCAACCATCATGTGGGTCTCCCTCAAACTTTCCCTGTTAGTTCCTACTAGGCCACAGGATAGGAGGGCCTTTCAACAATAGAGGAGAAAAAGTCAGTAAGAGATAAAAGCAAAACAGGAATAAATTTAAGACAAAACTATTAGGGCCCCAGGCCAGAGTGGGCTTAGATGGTTGAGCATCATCCTATGCACTGAAAGGTTGCCGGTTTGATTCCCAGTCAGGGCACATGCCCAGGTTGCGGGTTTGTTTCCCAGTTGGGGTCTGACTGACTTTCTTTCTCTCTTTCTTTCTTTCTTTCTTTCTTTCTTTCTTTCTTTCTTTCTTTCTTTCTTTCTCCCTTTCTTTCTTTCTCTTTCTCTCTCTTTCTCTCTCTCTTTACCTATCTCTCTCTGTCTCTCTCCCCCTTCCTCTTTCTAAAAAATCAATACAAACATATTTTAAAAAACTGTTAGAGAATAAAGCGTTGAGTTCTTGGAAGGAAAACATGTGTTTTAAATCTTAAATTATTACTAATATTACCAACAAATTCTTTAGAATTATTTTTGGATTCTAATGTTCTAACAGGTATGCAACTCAACAAAACATTTGAATGATTCTTATTGGAAAGAGATTTAGTGTTGTTGGAAAAGTAACCTTACAATTAGTGTACTGGAATTCTCTTCTCATCTTCAAACCCGGGTTTAGATTATATGATGTCATGACCAAGAGAACAAACTTTTGTGCTAGGAAGTATTATGATACTAAGTTTAAGCTATAGATTCAGCATTTATAAACTTTATAAATTTTGGCCAGCTACTGAACTTATCGCTTTGAACCTTATTTTTTCCATTTGTGGTATTACTGGCATCATATTGTCATTCTACTATGAGAAAGTCATTTCTTTTCCCATGTCCAATTTTAGTTTTTTCATCTTTAAAATATGAATAGTAGCCTTCCGTCCCAAGCTTTAATTTTTTAAAATTTATTTATTGATTTGAGAGAGAGAGAAACATCGATTTGTTGTTCCACTTATTTATGCAATCATTGTTTGACTCTTGTATGTACCCTGACCAGAGATGGAACCCGCAACCTTGGAGTATCAAGATGACGCTCTGATCAACAGCTATCTTGTCAGGGCACCCAATCTTCATGTAGGAATATGAGATTAATTGATTTCAAGAATGTGAAAACTCTACTAATATTATAGATTCAATTATTTTTTTATTCATACTATTATTTAAAAGATGCTTTTGTTTCCTATAAGGAGGGGGGGAAATCCCATCAGGAAAACAAAAGTACCCATTATGTGGAGGCATTAACAAATTACTCATTTATAAATAAAACTTAGTATCTTGACTCTAACTGGAAATTAGAGTGTGAACAGTTGAATTTTTTTTTTTTTTTTTTTTTTTAAGGAAAACTCTGTTCTGGGCCCTGGGCTTCTTTCCCTGTTCAAGTGCTTTGTATCTGACTAATTTTCTGTATTGATTCATTGAAATGAAACTTTCATTTGACAGGGTATTAGCATTTTAAGATAATTTTTTTTTAAAATATATTTTATTGATTTTTTACAGAGAGGAAGGGAGAGAGATAGAGAGTTAGAAACATCGATGAGAGAGAATCATCGATCAGCTGCCTCCCGCACATCTCCCACTGGGCATGTGCCCGCAACCCAGGTACACGCCCTTGACCGGAATCGAACCTGGGACCTCTCAGTCCGCAGGCCGACGCTCTATCCACCGAGCCAAACCGGTTTCGGCGATAATTTTTCTTTTTATAGGTAAAGGAACAGAAACAGAAAAGAAAGGTTAATGTGATGTGTTCAATATCATGTTTGGATTGACAGTACATGTACTGAGTTTCTAGTCCTAGTTCTAGTTATTCTAGTGGATATTGGTAAATGTCTTTGGTTGTCACATTGACTGTGGGGTGTAACTGGCATTTAGTGCCTAGAAACCAGAATGTTAGTCAACAATTTGATAGGTGGTCTCACAGGAATAATTGACCCATTTGAAATATCAATTGCATTCCCTTTGAAAAATATTGGTTTTCTCCGTGGGCAGTCATGTTTCCTTTCACTAATTCCCTTTTCTTATAGGAATTTTTTAAACTATTAAGCATGTGATCAAGTCAGTTCTCTGGAAATAACCTTGCTTTGTTGGGATTTTTTTTGTTGGCATGTTGGTGGGAAAGGCTGGGCAAGAATCCTTCCGTTCTATCACCCGTTCCTACTACAGGGGAGCAGCTGGAGCACTGCTTGTGTACGACATTACAAGGTGAGTCAGATCTCTTTGTTCTCAAAATTGGAATGCTAAAGAGGAATGGCATCTTAATATTTTTCTTTACACATCTATCTTTTCTCCTTCTCATACATTGGAATTTCTTTGGCATTTTGAAATGGGCCTTAGACCCACTTTCTAAACTTTTCTACTATAGGCGTGAAACCTTCAACCACCTGACCTCATGGTTAGAGGATGCCCGGCAGCACTCTAGTTCCAACATGGTTATCATGCTGATTGGGAATAAGTGGTAAGTTTTAATTTGAATAAATAATAAATACCAACAGTCATCTGGGTACTCTATGGACATTGAATCACTTGGTCCCCAAACTTTTTTAGTTTATGATGCTCTTAGTATCTCAGTAAAGAAAAATTATTGTGGTAAAATATATATAACATAAAATTTACAGTTTTACTCATTTTTAAGTATACAGTTCTGTGGCATTAAGTTTGTACATGTTGTCCTATAACCATCACTACCATGCATGCATCTCCAAACTTTTTTATCATCTCAAACTGAAACTCTGTTCCCATAAAACACTAACTCCACATTCTTCATCCGACTAGCCCCAGCAAATACCATTCTACTTTCTGTCTTTATGAGTTTGACTACTCTGGGCATCTAATATAAGCAGAATTGAATCTTATAGTATTTGTCCTTTTGTAACTGTGGCTTATTTATTTATTTTTATTGAGTTTTAGAGAGAGAGGCAGGGGAAGAGAGAGAGAGAAACATTGATTTGTTGGTCTATCCATTTATACATTCATTTGTTGTTTCTTGTATGTGCCCTGACCAGGAATCAAACCCCCAACCTTGGTGTATCGGGAAGATGCTCCCATCAACTGAGCTACTCAGCCAGGGCTGACTGTGGCTTATTTCATTTAGCATAGTGTCCTCTAGATGCATCTATTTTTCCTTTCTTTTTTAAAAAAACGTTTATTTACTTTTTCCATCACTGTTTATCCCCTCTCTGCCCTCTTCTACCTCCACCACCCCTCCTTCCGTTTTTAAGGCTGAATAGTATTCCATCGAAAGTATTTACCACATTTTGTTTATCTATTCATCCATTGATAGATACTTGGGTTGCTTATACCTTTTGGCTTTTGTAAATAATGCTACAGTCAACATGGGTTTATAAATATCTGTTTGGGTCCCTGGTTTTTATTATTTTGGGTGTATACCCAGAAATGGAATTGCTGATCTCATGGTAATTCTGCATTTACATTTTTGAGGTACTGCCATACTGTTTTCTATAATGGCTATACCATTTGACATTTCTACCAGCAGTATATAAGGGTTTGAGTTTCTTTGCATCTTCCTCAACACTTATTATTCTCAGTAAATTTTCTATGACACCCATAAACCAAAAGAAATACCTAGCAGTTTTGTTATTAAATGGTTAGATCTAAACAAAATAACAAGTATTTTTGTTATGACAACTTAATAACTGAGAAAACATACGCAGTGCCTTAAGGTGCTAACACAGAAGGGTAAAAAGTAAGTCTTGATAAAACCCAGAGAAGAGATGGTAAAACTCCTCTTTGGAATCTGTCTGGAGTCACAGCTGGGAAAGGAAAAAAAAAAAAGAAAGAAATGAAAAACATAAATTAAAAGAAAGCCATTTTTAAGTAACCATAATTACTTATTAATGACCTGTAGGGCCTTGCTGGGCACTGCCTAGCTTCTCAAACCTTGGGATCAAGATGGACACTCACTCCCACTTCTTGTTCCAAATTGATTTTTGCACAGTACTTGCTTTTTATTACAGCAGCTGTCAAAACCTTTTTACGAAGAGATGAAGATATTAAACGGCATCTATTCTGATCTAATGTTGACTCTGTGAACTATCTTTAGCTTGTAATTCACACAGTGTTCTTATATTGAATGTTGCTGTATTTCCCACAAACGTTTGAAGTATCCTGTGGCACCCTTCTGAGTTTGTAGTAGTCCCGAGGTTGCACCATTTGAGAATTGGCCACAGACTAATTGTACTCATTTATTGGGTCATTCAGTTTTATGGAAAACCTACTATGTCCTAAACACTGTTCCAGACCTTGAATGTACAAGGTTAAAAAAAACCCCAAAAACAACAAAACTCATGCCCCTGCTCCTATGGAGTTTAGAGGGGACACAGATATTAAATATAAATTATCTGTGTCTAATTACAAATTATGACAAATGCAATGAAGGGAAAAAAGGACTGCTATAAAAGAGTAACGAGCTGGTTTTTTTTTATTAAGAGTAATATTTAAGTTGGAATATGAAGGATGGGTAAGAGTTCAGTGGGCAAAGACTTAAAAACAACAGCAATAAAACAGCCCTGGCCGGGTAGCTCAGTTGTTTGGATCATCATCCTGTATACCAAAAGATTGCAGGTTCCAATCCTGGTCAGGTCACATACCTGGGTTTCAGGTTCAATCCCCTGGGTTTATACAGGATGCAAGCAATCTACATTTCTTTCTCACATTGATATTTCTCTTTCTCTCTCTGTCTCTCTCCACTTCCTCTCTCTCTAATCAATTAAAACACACACACACCACAAACATATCCTCGGTTGAGGATTTGAAAAAAACAACCCAAGCCCAGCCAGTGTTGCTCAGTGGTTGCGCGTTGGTCCATGAACCAGGAGGTCACAGTTTGATTCCCCATCAGGGCATATGCTCAGGTTGCAGGCTTGATCCCTAGTAGGAGGTGTGCAGGAGGCAGCTGATAGATGTTTTTCATCGTTGTTTCTATCTCTCTCCCTCTCCCTTCCTCTCTCTGAAACCAATAAGAACATTTTCAAAACTTAAAAACACCTCCCCCCCGCCCCAAGATATTAGAGAGGGAGAACAAAGTGTATGAAAGCCTCAACTGGAACAAGCTGTGCAAATTATGGTATTGAAAGAAACCTGGTGTGGTTGGACTGAATCAAGGGGGAATGGTATCAGATGAGGTTCAGGGACCAGATCTAGTAGCATTTACAGGCCTTAGTAAGGAGTTTTGATTTTATTATAAACACAATGGGAAGCATTTAAGCAGAGAAGTGACTTGATCAAATTTTAAAAGGTCTCTCTGGAGGGGAGCAAGGGTTGAAGTGGGATCCCAGTTGCAGTACTCTGAGTGAGAGAGAATGGTGGGTTGGAGTAGGGCAGCGATGGCGAACCTGTTGAGCTCAGCGTGTCAGCATTTTGAAAACCCTAACTTAACTCTGGTGCCGTGTCACATATAGAAATTTTTTGATATTTGCAACCATAGTAAAACAAAGACTTATATTTTTGATATTTATTTTATATATTTAAATGCCATTTAACAAAGAAAAATCAACCAAAAAAATGAGTTCACGTGTCACAGGTTCGCCATCACTGGAGTAGGGTGATAATGATGGAGAGAAAGAGAAAAGAATTTTAAGGTATGTTTTGGGAGCACCTCACTGTGGGGTGGATTGGGTATTTGGAGTGAAGGAGGGAAAGGTGTTAATAAAGGTATCTTGGTTTTTGCCTTGTGCCATTTACTGAAATGTGGAAGCCTGCCACAGAAGCAGGTTGGGAGGAAAATATCAAGTTCCATTTTGATGTAAGTTTGAAGTTCCTTTTACACATCAGAGTGGAAATGAAGAACAGGCAAACGGACAAACAGATCTGGAGCTTAGAGGAGCATCTGGACTAGAACAACAGCTTCTGAGTGTTGACATTTAGATGGATAGTTCTCCCTGGTCTGTATACAGCTGATGAACAATAAATATACATTTTGTACATTTGTTGTTCTTTAATGGACTTACTCCTTGATTTTTTTTTTTTTCATGGTTGAAATACTAGAAGCCTCCCAAATGTAAATTTCTAATTTGAAAAGTAAAAAAACAGCCTATCCTTACCTTATTTTACAGCCTTTTATTCTGTCTTTCCTAAAGTTTTTCCGTGTGACTCTCCATTCCCTTTCTAAGTCTTTTGCTCTATTCCTCTGCCCCATATTACCCAATTTTGTAATTTTTTCTGAATCCTTCATTTACCTGATGGCAAGCTGCTATTGTACATGTTAATAATGAAACTAGTGAGAGTTAAGGCACCTGTGTTCTTATTCCTGGTTTTCTCTCTTATGAATTGCTTCCAGTGAAGGAGGAAGACACTCATTACAATGGGATGGGACATCTATGACTTTCCTCCTTTCTGACAACTGGAATTTCCCATTCATCTTCTTTGCTTTGCATTCACTGGATCTTATCTGAAAAAAAAACACGGGGTATAAGCCTCGAGCAACTATGAGCTTGTCTAACCATTTATAAACACTATTCTCTAATAGAGTAAGATATTCTCAACCATGCAGCAGCCGACCTGGATCTGAAGAATATTTTCCAAGATACCACAGAAATGAGTAACCCTGTAAACATCACATAGGATCTGTATTCCTTATGGGTTAACTAACCATTGAAACAGTTACGGGATTCTTTTAGAACGAGGGTTTCTTCTTTCATTTGGATCTCATTTTCGTTTTCTCCCCAATTAATCTCTTGTAGTGACTTAGAGTCCCGCAGGGATGTGAAGAGAGAAGAAGGGGAGGCCTTTGCTCGGGAGCATGGACTTATATTCATGGAAACTTCAGCCAAAACAGCCTGCAATGTTGAAGAGGTACTATTTGGAAAAAAGTAGGGAAAGCATTTCAGAGATTACATCGTATCTTTGTCCTTTTATTCAGAGACATGGGTAAAGAATGTTATGTAGTGAAAGTGTCTTCTTAAGGGAATCACCCCATTTCTTTACCTTGATTTCTAAGGTTTTACTTTTGCTTTGGGTAACATTAATTGTAAGCTTGGATTAGTCAGCACTGTTACTTGTAAATTACTTTAGTTGGAAGGTCTCATGGGTTCTACTGTAGTCATTCCTCAGCCTGGTGTTGACTGTATCAATTAAGAGAGCCTGTTTGCCAACCTAGGAACATCTTGGATCAGTACCAAAATACCATATAATTCTTTTTTTCTTTTTAAAACTACTCACAATGGCTTTTACAGGGTCTGTGAGGGACCTTCTACATTTTTACTCTGTTCTTCTAATGGTTCCTAATCCACTTTATTTTTTAATCCTCATCCGAGGATATTTTTTCCATTGATTTTTAGAGAGAGTGGAAGGGAGAGGGAGAAACACTGATTGGTTGCCTCCTGCATGCCCCTGACCAGGGCTGGGAGCCTACAACTGAGTTAGGTGCCCTTGATCGGAATCGAACCCAGGACTCTTCAGTCCACAAGCCGATGCTCTATCCACTGAGCCAAACTGCTAGGGCTCTAATTCACTTTAGAAATTCAAATAGGAATACTCTTTGTATTCTCTTTTCCTTATTTCTCTACCTAATCTGGAGCCTAATAATATAATTTATGTCTCCTTTAGGCCTTCATTAACACAGCCAAAGAAATATATAGGAAGATCCAGCAGGGTTTATTTGATGTCCACAATGAGGTGAGCAAGGGTGGGGCTGACAATTAAATTTGCTTTGTCTTAAATGCTACAATAAGCTCCTTAGAATGTAAGCATCCACTAACATTATACTAGTTGAAGCTATGCCAACTCATACTTATTTTTTATGTAGGTGCACGAAGACCTGTCATTATTTTCTGTTTTTGTTTTTGTTTTTTCTCAAATCTGAGACCCTAGAATGCTTCAAGTGATTTTATTAGTTGGTGATCTAAAAAGCTTATACAGTATGAGAGGTTTTCTTCTCAACCTCATTTCTTCACTATTTCAGTGCTTGAGAGAGGTGTAATACTTAATTGCTCAGCAGGACTATTATATAAAGCAAGTTTTGGGGCAAAACATAAAAGAATTATATGCTTATATACTACTTCTACTCTTTTGCCTGCTCCTACTCTTTCCTAATCACATCCTGATTCTGCACATAGCTGTGAATCTTAAGTATAACAGTCATCTTAAAAAGGGGCACAAAAGCCATTTCTAGTCATCTAATAGTATAACTAGCCACATCTAGTCATCTAATATTTGTAACACAGATGGCCATCTCATCTTCACTGTCTCAGATTGTTGTTCTACAACAGTCTGGTTAGGGCACATGGCTACTTGCCAAGGTGATATCTGCTTCTAGAAAGTGTAATTAATAATTTCTCCTTTTATCCCCTTCCTTTCTCCCGTTTACTTGAGCATTTGAGGTGGGCACTACTGCTTCTTTTCTTTTGCAGGCAAATGGCATCAAGATCGGTCCTCAACAATGTATTTCAACATCAGTGGCACCTATCGCCTCCCAGCGGAACTCTGGTGACATAGAGTCTAACTCTGGCTGCTGCTGAATGTCTGGCCTGGACTCTTTTTTCTCCTTCCTGGAACAGCTTCAGATCAATAGGTTTACAGAGGTCTTCATAACTTTGGCTGAGAAAAGCCTCTTTTCAAGGTGTGATGTTTTGCCTTTCCACTTAAAGACCGGGGAGAATTTGAGCCCTTACTGACCTGTCCCTTCTTCGGGGACGTGAGCATTCCTTATAGATTAGGGCTCTTCTTATACCCTAATTTTATTTCTAAAATGTTAGTATCAAAGTTGATTGTCATGGCAATTAAAAAATAAATTATTTTAGAAGTATACATAATCTA